GAAACTGTAGCTTCTGTACATACCAGAGCAGAGGTACAGAGCTAAAGACCGTAGACAAAATTTCAGGATCATTCACAACGGAAGTGACCTGCAACGTCCGGGAGTCGAATCTTTGTCGCCCGATTCACAGCCCAACGCTCTTCTTAACCGGGCGGCTTTGTTTTACCCATTCCACGTTAAAGATATCTTAAATTGACTTGTCCATCTTTCAATCTAGGCAAACCATTCTTCATTTTTAGTGAAAATTTTAAAATAGGTACTGACTAAAAAGCGACCAGTGCAGATCATGATCTGACGGTACGGACATGTCGGGTTATCTTGGTCTACACTGGTCGCACGGATAGAATCAGTTGTCACCGGCAGGACTGAGGGCAGGCAAGTCATGACGCTCAAGCCAGTGATAGAGGGCGTGAGGGATGGTGCACGTATTCATTATCCCTCATGTACAAACTCAATCAAACCGAGTCTGCAATTCTCTTGTAATTTTGTTGTGATTAATGCTTCTGAGGGATCACTTTGTTTCCAGATTGTCATGATAAAACTTACTTAAAAATCTTTAATGGTTTTTTTTGCCACTAGAAATGAAAAAGCTAATATCTTGTATTGCATTTTTTTACAGAACAAAATGTTATTATCTTTTCATTACATATAACGAACCTGCGAAACGCACGCAATGACCACTTACGCTGTATTGCAAAAAGTTACAATTTCAGATTTGATGGACCTGTTTATATAATGGATATAGATACTTGTAGATAAAAATAATAAAAGTGCCGAAAAGTATTTGTATTTTGTACGCGAATGATAACGTACTAGATCAAGAACACTCCCGTCATTCGGCAGGTGTATTGCATTGAAAATTATTGACGCAACAAATACTATCCCCTTTGATATTTGAACTGAAAAAACAATTAATACTTTTATCTGTAAAATCTTTATTATTTGTTAAGATATTTTAAAATACAGTTACTTTTTAAAAATCTTCTCACGCCCATATAAAACAATATGCGTTTCTCCTAAAAAACAAAACAAATGGTTAATTAAAATACATTTTTTAAATAAAAAAATGTGACCGTGTACTATATAAAATAGTAAAAAAAGGTTATTTGGTAAGGCATTTCTCTTTCGTAATAATATTTATAAATGCGCCTTTGATAGCATATAGAGTGACACCTAGAATTACGTGTTACTATAAATAACTTTAAACAACAAAAAAATGAACTTCACAAACTCGTTGTAGTTAGTTCGAAAAAGGTAAATCTACGTAGGCTTTTAACCCTTTAGTAAGTAAGGTTAAATAATATAGTGCCAAATTATCTGAAAATTGTCACCAATAAACGTGTTTTGGCCGCCATTTTGCCACAAGTCACGTGATTTTCTGCCTCTGGACGCTGTCCCGCAGTGAATACATGAAATTACGACATGTTTTCGCGATGCTACTCTCGTGTAAAAGTTTATGGTTTTTAGCTTTTTTACCACTCCCCCACCCCCAGCCCCCCACACTCGCACCGCCGGCATGATACAAAGAAAGGTCAGAAACCTGAAAGGCCTTTCAACTTTGTCATTCCTTTCAGAAAATACGAGTATATAAACAAAAGTAAATAGATACCCATTTACAAGAATACACGAATGTAAACCGCACTCTCTTCTGGATAAAGTATGCAAAAAAAGAAAACAGAAGAAACGAAATACTAGGCCTAAAAGTTTAACAACGCGGTACATATATATTTCCTACATCATATTACAATATCTGAGGAATTCTTTCGTACAGGAACGGTAACTCTTGAGCAGATGAAATGAAATAATTTGACAGACTAATTCTCTTTGAATTGGCGATATAAATGCCGCACAGGAACTTTCTGATTTTGAAATTCTGTTCACATGACATTTATTGTTGTATCAAATATGTCAGATGTAGAAGTAATGCGTTTCATTTAGTTTCATAAACCAGAGTTTTAATACGACCAGGAAGTTGTTGTTTTGTTCCCTTTTAAGCATTATAAGTATCTTACATGAATATGAAAAAAATGCAATTCACATGTATTTTAAACGAACTCGCATCCCGAAAACCTCTAAACAAATTTGTGTACGTTGCCTTTTTCTTTTTCCATGGCTTGTTATCTTTTTAGGTTTAAACAAATTAACTTGTTTCGTTTAAGAGTTTAGATAACATATATGTTTATACCCTTCTCTAATAACAGCGGCATTCACAAGTAAAATGTTTATAAATGAATGCTGAGTCTAAATTAAAACATCGACCTTCCTCTATGATCCGAGTCAAAGAATTTCAAAGTTTGTGCACAAACACACAAAAAGTGCATAGCTGTTTGCGCAGAGTTCATACCAGCAGTGGCGAAGGTCAAATAATTCAAAGTGAACTGCTTCAAAAATTCTGCCGCGGACTACTTTTTCGGCGTATACATCCCAGCTTGACAGTTATGACAAATGGTTTCCAGCTAGTTTTAGCCTTTGAAGTGTTTTGATTTAACATAATCGCCTGATAGAACTCTCACAAGTGTTTTAAAATCCAGACAGATCCATTAAGACACTTACGGCGTGTTAAAAACTGTAAATCATCTACAAAAATCGATCGCCAAATTTCAGACAAATTGTCTGAGAGCCTAGCAACGAGCTAAAATACTCGCTACTCGTCGTTGAGAAATTTTAAACATGGAAAATGTCAATATGAACCGACAGTTGAGAAATATTTTAGATAGGAAAGATGTCCCAGAGGTCTATAAATAAAACAAGCATGTTGTCCGTAAAGATATTCATCTATATTTTGTCAAAATGACTCGAACGTCTAATGTAATCATGGCCATTCTATTTTTTTTATGAAATGACTTTTAAATGTGACATAAGGTACTAAAATCATTAGAAATGTGAAGCAAATTATTTAAACCTTGCACGTGCTTATTTTAAATTTAACAATATGATATTATACTGGAAATGAGATATCCATATCAGGCCCGTCGTCACGATTTTGTGATTGGTGCGGCCAATTTGGTTGGTTTTAGCCAGAATCTAGGGGGGTACGGGGGCATGCTCCCCCGGAAAATTTTGTATTCTAGGATGCTCTCAGGGCCGTTTTACCGTATATTTGGCACAGTTTACAGCCTGCCGTTAGTACATGTTATAGTAATATGTCAACGATTTTTTTCAGATTTAAGTGCGTCGTAAGTTTTAAGGGTGAAATTTAAGGTTCGCATAACGGACGGATAGGTGTACATAAAAGATGAATACATGTAATTGATATTTGGCAAATAAAAAATAAACAATAATTAATGTTGTATAATTCTTTAGATGCATTTTTATCTGATAATTACAAATAAACAACTACAAGAAATATTACAGTACGTGGATTATTGTTTAACAAAACTCACACAATAAACAATCAATGACATGATGGAAAAATAGTACATTACGAGTCAACAATAACCACTTTTTGTTTAGCAGTAACTTGTATTTTGTTCACAATAATCTTACACAACAGAGTCTCATTTTATGTAAATTTTCCAAAATCACATCGCCGTCGTTCTCTGGTGGTAATGAGCTCATCGGCAATTACAAATAAGTTGAGTGAATCTGTCCTGTACTTATGAACATGTAACACCATTAGATTGTTCAAGCGTACTTGAGACATTGTCGATCTCAGGTATGTCTTTATTCTTCTGAGTTCACTGGTAGCATTAGTAGTAGGTATAACTAACAAAATCTTTAACAACACAATAACCTCAGAGAACAGTGCTCGTTCTAGCACCAACTGTTCTGATACAAATTTCAAAACGTCCGGTAGAGTAACAGTACAGTAAAGACCATAGTTTGGCGCACCGAGCAGTATTTACTATATAAATGGTCTGTATGTAGCGACTCCCTGTCTAGTGCGTACAACGACCATGATTTAGCGTCTCCCGTTACGTTATATAAGCCGTGTAAAGCGACTTTTGCAAGGGGAGAAGCTCGAATGGATTACAAAAAAAAATAAGTTTTTACGAAATTAAGATTATTTTTTAAAAAAGCATATCTCCGGCATAACGGGGCTTGAAGGAAAAAAGAAAGTGAAATAAAAAGATGATATGTTGTGTGTTTAATATATATATATAATATAAATGAAAAATATAATTAAACCCTAAGTATGGTACTATCCTGCTTTTAAACAAAATATTGGCAACATACATGTATGTTCGTATATCCAAATTCTTTAGAGACTGTCTATAATGACATTTTTTCTTTTCTCCCATCGAAGGTCACTTAAAATAGTTTTTACTTTACTATTTTCTGATTTATCAAAATGTGAACGGAGCAGCTGAAGCTGCACCTCTAAGATGTCTCGGTTAATATCGTTACCATAGAAATCACAAACAAAACCAAGTTCTCTAGTTTGTTTACAACACATAAAGCGTTTGCATGCATAATATTGTACTCGTTCTGGCTTTTCAAATTTACCAATACCCCAAATTTCAGCCCCAAATAGTAACTGAGGACATATTTTAGTATCAAACAGTTTAAAAAAACTTTCTTATTTAATTGGCCACAATCATACAATGATTTTAAGATAGATATAAAAACCCTCTTACCCTTACTAGCTGCACGGACTGTCCAGCGAGTAGGGCACACAGTTCTAAAACCCGGCGTCTCAGGTGCTAGATCTTGCTTATAAGTTTCTTACGTTTAGGAGAATTCTTAAGTAACTTAGAAATTGCTTATCAGCGATGCGTGTTTTTTATGTTTTTTTTTTTGTTTTGTTTTTTACTCATTTTTGGCCAAAATATTGGTCCGGCCAAGGCCGGACCGGCCGGACCATCGACGACGGCCTTGCATATCTTAAAACATACACAGAAAATGTAACTTAATGTAACTTGGTGACTTAGATTCTAGAAATACCCTTTTTATCAAAACCTTTCACGTGCATGCTTCCTCGTGAAAAGCGCCGTGCCGTTAGGTGGTGTTCCAACAATTCTTCATAATAGTGCTGTAATCAGTGTCACGTTGTCTTTCAGGTTTTCTCCAGTTAACACTCTGCCGCCTAGAAAATAATCTGGTCCAAATTGACCTTCAGAGGTCACGGGTTCGTGGGTACAGCAAATATGTTGATTTCATTCAAAAGCCCACATGGACTAACACAGGGGCTTGTGACAGTCAAGCAGTGGTAAAAATAGATTTCTCCGGACCGTTCAAGGGGGCAGAACTCTCACTACACTATGGAAAATCACCGCGAGCTTGGACGCTAGATATTTCAGATTCGGCAACTGGAGATGGTTACGGTGGCGACGATGGGTCGACCAGCAACATGGCAGAGGTTCAGATTCTAAACCGGCAAATGCGCATATATGGGAATACACTGCCCGGTTACATGGACGCGAGCAGTGATGGAGGGCTACTCATAAAAACCATCGACGGATTTGCGACAAAGGGGTCAAAAGCAATATTAAGTGTTAGTGACGAAAGAGTTGAGTGGAATAGGGGCAAAATAAAAGATAAATTAGAGTCCAAATTTTTGTTCACATTGAATGGACAAGAGACACTTTATGGTGCAATCGATTACGATGTATTCTTTGGATTTAACCGTGTAGTTGCTGGGAATTTTCGAAATGGATCTGGACTATGCTCCGTCGCTATTAAATTGATCACATTTCCAGGTAAGTTATGAATATTTCATATCTCACTAAAGGTCATGTGAGTACATACGTCATAAGCTCGTGAAAATTCGGTAAATTTCGGATATTTCCGTTTTGTGCTTGTTAATATAACCGACGAATCGCTCCTTTCCGTTACAAAATGTAATGGTAATAAAATCGTCGCAATTACAGGAAGAAGAAGCAAAGTAAATAAAACGCTTCATGAAATACATGTCAATAACTAAATACAATCGGAAATTGACGAAGTTGTCCGAACTTTAACGAGCTTGTCGATTGATAGACTACTTTAACGAGTTCAATTAGCAATCACATTTGCACTTGAAACGTTATGAAAATAAAATTTTCGAGAGCTTTTGTGCTATTGATAGAACATATGCAGGGCTCACATATTTTGGATTTAAAAACTCATATCAAAATTCTCATAGGAATGTTAAGAGATTAAAGGGTTCATTAAGTTTAAAAAAACGAATGTGTAAATGTTATTAATGAAAATAAATAAATAAATAAATAAATAAATAAATAAATAAATAAATAAATAAATTAATTAATTAATTAATAAATTGATAAATAATAAATAAATAGATAAAATAAATAAATAAATAAATAAATAAATAAATAAAATGATATAGGTCTAAAATGTAAATACTTCTGATTACGTATCAATACATAATACATGTATTTCCATATTGACGTCATCAAAGATCGAAATGACATTTACGTACGAAAAGGTTACGAAAATCAATGTGAAAGAAATAAACGAAAAGACGAATATATTATGAAATTGGGAAACAAAAATCCTTGCAAAAATTGTAAATTATCTGAACGTTGTCTCATTCAATCAGGCTGTTACATTACATGAGCCGCGTCATAACAAAACCAACATAATGGGTTTGCGACCAGCATGGATCCAGACCAGCCTGCGCATCAGCGCAGTCTGATCAGGATCCATGCTGTTCGCTTACCAACCCTATTACAAGTAGAGAAACTGATAGCGAACAGCATGGATCCTGATCAGACTGCGCAGATGCGCAGGCTGGTCTGGATCCATGCTGGTCGCAAACCTATTATGTTGGTTTTGTCGTGACGCGGCTCACATTATGATGTTATAATTTGTTTTCAATTAAGTACAAAAATTTGATGACATCAGATAAAAAACATGGTTTTCGTTTTTTTAAATGTAAATTTCAAATTTACACGTTTGTGATAATGAAAATATGCGGTAGTGTTAAATGAACACCAAACGCTCCTTGACATATCAATAAGTACGTCGTTTAAAAGCTTTAAAGGCCCACAATATCCCACTTTTTATTTCTCAAAAACCTTTTTTTAATTTTTGGTGTTCTGCTGTCCTGCTATAGTCTACAAAATACTACTGATTGGTCAATCACTGAAGTATCTTTTTGCTACTGGTGCCTTCCGGCAATTTCTACAAACTCCTCACAATGATTACCTCCCTTGGCAAATTGAAATCACTGCTTTCGCAGACGTCACATTATGATGAAAGTCACGTGACGTAACGTCGAAATTCAAATGTAAATACAATGTATCGACCGTTACATAAAAAATCTAACGTCATTTTTCTCTTTCTGTTTTATTTTTGACTTACCTACGTTAGTTTATCAAAAAATTATCAAAAGTATACAAAATAATGAAAAATAAATTTAAAGGCTAAACAATGTGAACTAAAATAATATATGAGTGTTGGCTGAGATCTCTGTACTGATAAGGGGAGACCACTGCGTAGGAGATTGCAATTTCTACAGTTATAGTGATTAAGTATTATTTAAGAAAAAAATACTGCCATGTTTACATTTTTCTTCTTTTATGGCAAATAATTTGAGCCGTGTCATGACAAAAGCAACATAATGGGTTTGGGACCAGCATGGATCCAGACCAGCCTGCGCATCCGCGCAGTCTGATCAAGATCCATGCTGTTCGCTATCATTTTCTCTACTTGTTATAGGTTTTATAAGCAAACAGAATGGATCCTGATCAGACTGCGCGGATGCGCGGGCTGGTCTGGATCCATGCTGGTCGCAAACCCATTATGTTGGTTTTGTCGTGACGCGGCTCATTTCATATACAGCGCCACCTATATCACGTGATACGCAGCTACATGTAACAAGATCTAGAGCCATTATTTAAACGTAACAGCACTCTTGGTTTCCTTTTTTTTTAAAGACATTATTAATTTCGTTTCTGTGGCTTAATGTGCCTTTAACATACAAGTAAAAAAAATGTACAAAAAATGCATGTTTTCTTATATAATACAGCTCCCAAATCAATTTAGTTACAGTCGTCTTTTGCAAAAGTCATCCTCACGCAATTCACACTTCTTTAGTCAATTTTCCTTTTTTTTTGTTACAAAGAGTGGCTTACTTTATATACCGAATAACCCGGCCGGGTGTATTAAAAACATCACATAACATCACTGATATTAATCATATGCGATGTACTATTTACAACAGCCAGTATTTTAATACACTGTTTTGTCTGGATGTGTTTTTTTTATACATTTTATGATATCATAAATAGCGTTCTATTCGCACGAAAAAAATATAAATGAATTCATAGCTCGCTATATAATATCTTTATTTTATCTCCGTGAATTCCCTTTATACAAATATTCAAAGGTGGTTAACGATTAATGTGAAATTACTTTATAGTTAGATATTTTGGATGGGGGAAGATATCTACTTTATGTGTGGTCTACACAGAAAATTTATACTAAATCATTTATTTATGTACAGCCAGACGCTTTCAATTTTTTGCGGATATTTTTTTTATATAATTTTTTTTTCTTGATAAGAATTCATTTTTTGTCTCATTATGAACTAAGAAAATAGATATTCCGCCCGTTGTTTGTAACTGTTTATGTTAAACGTTAAGGCACATGCAAACCTTGTTATGTTAATTATAAATTTGCGTTTGAGGATAGAAATGAAACCGAAGTAAAGTAATGGTTAGGTAATACCGTCTGCTTTGGTGTACAGGAGGTCACGGGTTCGTACTCACACCAAACAATACAAAATACATTCAAAATGTAGAATGTTTTGTGCTTAGTTGTACTGGCCCTCTTCTTTTTCATACTCTTGTGGTGTATAGATCAACATTGTTTAAGAACCTTGTTGCACATCATCAATATAATACCTTATTATAAAATTGGCTATTGGTAGATGACTTTTTTGTGTTTTTTTCTTTTTAATTATTAAATGGATTTATTTATTTATTTATAAATTTATTCATTCATTCATTCATTCATTCATTCATTCATTCATTCATTCATTCATTCATTCATTCATTCATTTTCTGTTGTTTTAGTTTAAAATATTTTGCATGATATTTTGTTTTCTTATTGGTATAAGGCTACAGGCGAACAATCGCTTTACTCATTTTGTTTTTCGACAAATGCCATTTTCACACCAAGGCGATTTCGACGATTTGCCAATAAGTTACTAAATACTGATTTTTCTGAAATAAAAATATTGCTTGACCGCATAATAAAAATGGCTGTGCAAAAAAAAAAACCCCAAAAAACACCATTTAAGCACGTGCTGTCATACGTTTTTTCTTCCCTTTTCTTTCTTTTGAAACGATAATATGTTATCTTTTCAAGATGAAATGTTTTACCATTCACGCGCGCGTTATCATTATAGATGAAAGATGAATGTCATTTTTGCGTACGTCTCAGCAATAAATTCATATAGTCACCCGTTTAATCAAACTTGAATTAAGGTGTAAATCCATTCGCGGCTCGTATAAATTCAAATCATACCCGTAATATACCGCATTGAATATCTGAACTCCGTGCACCGGAGACGACACGTTATTGTATGGATCAAGAACACTGTTACTGTTGCGGGGACTTTAAAACGAGGATTTTGTCGATCTTGGGCATCACGACGCTTTTGTAAATCAGTAATACGCGGTAATACGCGGAAAGTGACGGACATTGACGAATATTCCAAACTTTATGATGGATGTAGTACCTTAAAACCTATAACTGATAAGTCATGACAACTTATTTATCTGGGAAGCAATTAAGCGTCCGACAGTATTTTGTTGAACGTTTATTTTTTATTTCAATGCAAACTTGATACATCCGAATTCTTAAGGTTTTCACATAACTGGCAAACAAAAAAACAAGATAGTTTTAATTTTTTTTAAAGTGATTTGAATTCTTTTATTTTGAATATCAGAAAAATTGCTATGTTATCATACTTGATCAAAATCATGGGGCGGTGACTCCTTCAAAACTGTTGAAGCGGAACGCAGCCTAGAAATAGTTTAAACAAGCCGTATTTTAAATATTTTCGTATATTCAATTTTGAAACCGTAAGTATTGATGAATGCGACTCATAAGGGGAGGTAACTTTTGTCAACATTCATTAAAGAGTCATAGAACTTTGCTTCTGAATTTTTATGTAAACTTTCATCATATACAAGTATATTTCAAGTTTCAAATTAATCTCTGGTGTCTGATAAAATTTATTATAGTACAATGAATACGTAAATCTAAAAACACATAATTAAAAAGGGGAATAACTCTTTAAATTGTAATGCAGATGTATTAAACTTGACCGTCAACTTGGATAGTTCACCTTGCAAATTAATATATTGGCTAATGTCACAAATATTCAAAAAGATATAAATTTTATAACACGGGGAAAATGAGTATGACCTTGTCACAGTCCAATGAAAAGTGATAACACTTGGTCCTTGTAGGCCTTAATGTACATTTCAAGTTTTAAACTAATATATGAACTGGTTTAAAAGATATTAAAGATGTAAGAGAGAAAAAGTCGGGACGGGACAGACCAGGACAGACGAAACGCCCCCCCCCCCCTCCCCCCCACACACTATATGTGGTGGTACGTGGCAAATATTGTTACTTTTAGCTTCAGAATAAAAACGTGTTCAGGATATGGTAAAACAGACCTCAATATTGTCGACACGTCATAATGCAACATGACGTCATAACTCAATTCTACCTTTGTTAA